CATTTGAAAAATGTTTTGGTTTTGGGCTTAGCATACGACAGCCACCATTCCATCCGTGAGGCATAGTTTCGGTGCTGACGGATCCAATATTGCCACCGGTATTGGAAATCCGCCACATTTTCGTCAGTCAGCAGGTGGGGGCGAAGGGGCCAGAATCCACGACCGTGTTCACGTCCGAGGTGGGGAAGGCAGAGTCTGAGTGTCAACGCTGAGTATGAGCCGCTCGTAGGTGATCGCGTAACGCAGTGCTCACGTAAATACGATCAATACGGGATCTTGTATTTCTGCTGACGAAGGTGAAGCCGGCATTTCTTGGACATAGTTTTTCCCACACGTCGAGAAGCTTAAGTTGCTGGACGGTCGTTCTGAGCGACGGACTTGTGTTCGGGCTGGATGAGTCACATGGGCGAAGCACGCAATTGAAATCGCCCACTAGAATTACGTGCTCGGTGCGATTGTGGAGATAGCAGGCAAGAGTGCCGTTGAAAAATTCTTCCCGAGCAGCACGCTGCGTAGTACCCGAGGGGGCATAGACGTTGTCAAGAGTGTCGTCAGCCAACGGTCCAAGCTTTTCTCGACGTGAGAATACTGGATGTGCGACTTCAGTGCGATCACCGTTCCCCTCCTCGAGTGGTCCACATGAGTGAAGACGACAAAACCTGCCAATGAGAGCTGCTCGTTCTCCACCTCTTGCAGACAGACAATGTCGAGGCTTTGGCTGCTGACAAAGGCTCGCAAAGCGTTTAGCTTCATCGGACTTGTGATGGTGTTGATATTGATGGAAGCAACGTTGTAGGACGTGAGAGACATTATAAAATATTGTACTCAGCCTTCCCGTCCTCTTCGTCATCACGGCGGGGCTTTTTGACGATTGGTCGCCCGCGGCTTCGCCTGCTGCTCGTGGAAGTTGATGATTCGTCCGTCTCATTTCCGTTTGATTTGCTGCGTGGAGGTACATCATCAGGCTTTTTGAACAGCTCCACCGAATCCGAATTCGTATCGGGCACTTCAGTGAGTCTTCTCGACGATGCTGGTTGTTTTGGTTCGTCGTGCATTGTGGTCTTGCATTCTGGCATAGTACTACCATCGCTGTTGACTGGATGATGGTGTGCATTTTCGAGCCGGAAGGTTCGTTCTGGCCCAGACTCGAAGCCGGTGATAGTTCGGGGCAACTGTCCGACGATAACGACGGTGACACATCGAGCTTCGGTCCGGCTGGTTTTGCTCTTGGTGGCTTTCGTTGCTGCTGCTGCGTTTGCTTTGCCACATTAGCGTAGCTCTTTTGGACCAGCAGCTTTTTATTTTGTACACACGAGATACCCGTGTTTGTCTGCTCGTGACAGTGACGGCACGACTGCAGTTGTCCCTTATATGCAAAGAATGCCTTCACTCCGTCGATGGTGGCCCACGATTCGATATTTCGTATTCGTGCCCTTTGCCAAACATTAGCTCCCGGATCGAAAGCACTTCGCCATACCGACTGAGGAACTCAATAATCCTCTCTTCCGACACACCTTCGGGAAGATGCCACACACGCACTTCAACACTTCCATCTTCCATGGTAATACCATAGATGTAACTCTAAGACTAGTAGGTCCCGAAGAAACGTGCTCAACTTTTTGGCTCAGCTTTGGTACTATCTTCGGTCCCAAGCTAATCGATTCACCCCTCGAAACATAAGAAAATCCACTAACCCCTCATTTTATCTGTCAAACTTTCATAGCGAATCAAAACAAACATAGTGTAGTACTAGAATTTTTACTAGAATGGGGTACGCTCATCGATTTGCTTGGGACCAATAGGCTAGTCAAGTAGTGAGCCAATTTAAAATCGTTAGTTTCGTATTGATTGTTGGTAATACGGAGCTTGTACTTTTTACCACCGCACTCCACTTCGTGCTTTTCGTCGTGTTCATCGACCACTTTTTGGGCCAAACCTTGGTCAGCGAGCTTCACGAACGCGAGTTAACAATCGAGCTACCTGGACTTGGACAGTGAAGATTGCTGACGGACACATAGGCGTAAGTTAGCAACGGAGTAGCCCAAACGGGGACAGTGAAGAATGCTGACGACAACTTTAGAGCGGATGGCAACGATGCGTGGAGCACCAGCAGCGAAAAAGTGCAAGGAGAGCAATGTGAACTGTAGTTATAATTGATTATCAAATAAAGTCCAGTTCGTTTTAGGCTAGCGTGTAGTTAAGTTGTATTTTTTAAAAAGGTTATCATGTCCGTGAGATCTTAACTCGCGCATGATTCACCTCTGTGGCACTGTAGTCTTTTCACATCTTCCCTCTTTAGACCGAGAACTGTACGGCAAAAAACGTAGGTTTTTTCGTACGATGGCTTTAGAGGGAGGTTCGAATAATCGATTCAAAAGGTGTTCTCTCACCTCATTGCAGAAAACTGCCCGCGACTCGGCTCAACGACACACGGAAAATAGTCAAAAAGGCCTGACTCTCTGATAAGCGTAGTTGATAAAAAAAAAACTTCTACACGTCTCAGAGGCTGACCGATGTTCTTTTCACAACGTGTAAAGTTGAATCGACGCAAAAATGATTCCGTCACGCCTCGTTTACTTCGAAAGAAAGATATAATAACTAGATCAACAATTTGAAATAGGCGGAACAACCAAACGTAGACAATGACTTTAAACACAAAATTCTCGAGAATCAAAACACTCCCACGCAAACTAACAATGCCATTCGTAAAGGAAGTTTGCTCTTCTAGATGATGGTGTTAGATTGCTTGAATGTGCGTTGATTCTCGAGGAATTCTAGAGTAACATTTGAAATGGGCCTATGTGAAAAAGGTAAACAAACCAGAAAATGAATTTTAAATTTATCCGCCACTATTCAATTCATATTAAAGAAATTTGAAGTATTTTAGGCATTAATATTGTTCACAATAACCATAGTAACTGTATCTCAGTATACAACATCCAAAATATGCGAAAAGCTTTCAAAAATATATGAAAATCGATAACAATTTAATTTCATACATTAATAAGCCTTTTTGTGAATCTTTCAATGGATAGGCCCTTTTAGTTAAGCCGTTGTGCTTGTCATCAGAAATGGTACGCCCTTTGCTAAGACCTTTCGCAACGTCAAATAAATACAAAACAAATCATCGGCCCTGCCTCAAGCAGTAGGGCCTAGCTTTGGTTTGAAATTTTTCAATCATCGGCCCTTCTACGTCACTAGGCTTTTCAATGAAATGAAATAAATGAATGGTTGGCCGTTTTAGCGCGCAGGCCTACTAATGAATCGAAAAATTTCGTTGATCAGCCGTTTCGAAAATCGAGTTATTTTTGATGATTTTTCTCGATTACGCGGAACTTTCCTACACGATTAGTACCTAGCTATCTAGCGGTGCTAAAGAATGGTATAAAAACCCGATTTGTTTACGTTTTGGACATAGGCCCATTTCAAATGTTACTCTAGAATTTGTGTTTAAAGTCATTGTTTACGTTTGGTTGTTCCGCCGATTTCAATTGTTGGTATAGATAATGCTATCTCGTTTTTCTCTTCATCGATGGCAGACACGAAGCGACTGCTGCCAGCCGTAATGGTTGTTTCGGTTGTGTTCGAGTGTAAAGGAAAAATCATGAAACTCAATCTCACCACACTTTGGTGAGATTTGCAGCTAGTGAGTTTTGTTAGCTTGATATTCCGAGTGGCAACATCACAGCTTGCAATATCCACCGCAATTATTTGCATCTTGATTTTTGTCTACGAAAATCAAGCGTGATCCTGTTCTTAGTTGAGATTTGATTTTTTTTTAATATTTTTCCAACACTGCGAAGTAATATGAAAGTAACTTTTCTGATTTACATTTATGTCAGTTCCTTGTACCTATTATAATAAGGGAGAATATCGCGTCTATTTTCATTTCCTTTGGCTTGTACTGCTTAGTGACTCAACGAACATTGAATAACAGCTTATACAGCCGAAAATACGCTGATAGAGGCATATTCAGCTTTTAATCAGCTAAAATGTGCGTTCGGGAAGCCACATAATAAAAACCTGAGTTGATAGAGAATTCAATACGTTGCCGGTGGTCAAGACTCATTTTCAGCTCCATCTTCATGGTCTTCCGCACACATCGACAGGCACTGCTATGAATGGAGCTTGCCTGGGTCCATAACTTGATATAAAAGGTGTTATGTTCAGTTTTGTTAGGGTCATAGCAGGGCATGAAATGAATTTATTTATCGACTGGATATGGGTTAATAAGCTACATTCAGCAACACTGCAAATTCGGTGGAACATGTCGCGGAATGATCATGACTGCAATTTTAGACTTAAGAGGAGATAATCAAGTTCTAAAAAAAATCAAGGACTTATCAAAATCAGCAGGTCAGGACCTAACTAAGTCAAAACAAACACGGTAGAAAACCAATGGAAATTCTGCTAAGTGTAATGCACTGTTATTAGGGGTAAATGGAAAAGCAATATAAGCTGCTCCACAAATGGAACTCTCAAACCAGAAAGCACATTCTTCTCTACTCACAGCTATTCTCGGAATCGAAGTCCACTTCTCTGCAGAACGTAAAAATGTGTTCGACGGGAAGTGCACCTAACCTTAGCTTTTTGTCGAAACTCTACGCTCGTACGTCACAAATCTAAACCTAATAACTAACTGCTTGCCGAAGTAATTTAAAGATCACTCTCTAGCTCAGCAGGAATACTATCTTCGATTTCTTTGATAAATTTTTCCTCTCTAAATTTCAGTTTCGATAAAATGTGTGTCACAAACACATTTCTTTTATCTAACAAATACAATGCCGTCTACCTCTCTCGTGTTCTAACTAACAGGTGGATAAGGGATCGGTGATATCACTTTTGCTACTACTATTACTACTGTTCTTGTCTTGCAACCTTTGCTGCCTGCAATCGATCGAAGGGAAAACAGGGAGGAAAACAGAAAACGAATGTAACCACTAGATGTAAACTGAGTGTGCATGTGGGTGCGTGTGTACCATAAAAGGAAGCAATCTTACCTTTGGGAAGACAAGCTCTTCCGCGGTGGCGGCATCGGCGTCTTGCCTAAGCTGTTCGGTGCCATCGAGGGTGGTTTGATGGGGGCCTTCTTCGAACGGGGCGGCACGATCCGCTCGTTCGAAGAGGAGATCAGGGTTTCGTCCTGCAGACTTTGCGAACTGTGTGGGGAAGATTACACCGAGACATGCTTGACAAAAAATCAGAAAACTGCATGTTCAACACTTACCTATCATTCATGCTCGAATGGTGCTGCTGCTGCTGTTGGTTGGCGATGAGCGGTGAGGATCCGCCACCGCCATAGGAAAACGGTGACGAGGGGGTGGTGGAGGACACGGACCCGGAGTGATTCAGCAGGTTGTTACTACTGCTGCTGCTGTGATAGTGTTGGAACGCGGGAGATCCACCCGACAGATGGCTATTGCTGTTCAGGTAGGCCGCTGCCGTTGCCGGCGATACGATGCCCGTGTTCAGTGGATTCAGCGCCGAGATCTGCATGCTGGTCGTGGACGGACAGCCGCCGACGATGAAGGTCACAGTGTCCCGTTCGCCACGGTCACCGTCGTCGCTGGCCGACGAATCGTCCCGGCCGCCCCTACAGATGCCATCGTACAAACCTGCATTGGCGGTGTGCGGGGGTTGGGTCCACAAATCGAATTTTGCAGTAAAACGTGACACAGGCAAATGATAAACATGGAAGAGAGAGAAAAGAAATGGAACGGAAAAAAATACGTTACATAAGAGACAGGGTAATTGACAATTGTTGGAACATATGTTTTGTATGGAACTAATGGAACCGGATGAAACTAAGCTACCAAAATGAACCAAATCTAACGGAATCGAAATTATTTGATAAGATTAAAATGATCAAAGAAACCAAATACATTGTTTAAACAGCGAAATTGTGCAAATATACGTTCTACTTGAGAGTTCCCAAAATCATACTCTAGAAAAATGGTTCAGCAGCTAATCTGTAGATACACTTTGGGTATTTTTAGACATCAAATTCTTCCAAAACGGAAAGATTAGCAGCTAAATTTCGAAGAAAAGTGCCAAAATCAACAATTTTGTGGGTGGGTGTCGTAAACGGTAGAATAACTACAATTCAAAAATGTGCAAAAGTGAATATCATACAAGTGTTTTGTGTCGTTTGGTAAGCTTGATTGATCTATTCTTAATTGATCATCTGTTTTGATATTTTTTGGATCAATAGTTCAGATTTAGCATTTAAGATTAACCTAAATACCAGAGAAATTGGTCCGGAGATGAGCTAAAAAAACGTCCAGCACACACTCGACAGGCTATCCAACTTAACAATTTATGAATACTGCCAACAAGATTTTTGTTCACTGTTTCATAGCTCTTAACCACTCTCTAATATTTCTCCTACTTGAATAATGGATGCATACTTGCATAATTTAAAAAAAAAACGCCGGTTGTTTTGTAAATCTGCTTTTAGAATCATAAGGGTCTAACTGCAATGATCGATTTCCTTTATTAAATTGTTCCAGTTGGACAAATATGCGTCCATTATTCAAGTAGGGCAGATCGACTTGACATTTTCTCGAATTTAAGTACATATCAAATTATGGCGTTAATAATTAAAACCTCAAAATTGTCGCAAAGTCCATGGCACGGTTATGCGTACATCGGCAGTTAATTACTCCTTCATAACTATTAACAACTTCAGTTCACCCCTACTAGACGTAGTATTAAGTTAATCTTGTTAAACATCAAACAATGCTATATCCGCTCCGTAAAGCTAACGCGATTGAGCCTTTTAAATAAATTATTTAAAAAAAAGTTTTAATCAACTTTCTTGATTATTATCTCATTACTCTTAACCACTCTCTCATGCACTTGAATCACCCTCACATATCTCTTAAATGCTATGTCATAAATTTGAATCACTCTCATCCCATTACAGTAACATTGCAAGTTTTATCGAGGTTTTAAAGCATGCTACAAGTCTAAATCGTGGTCTTCAGAACCCTCATAAAACCAAAATTGTTACTTGGGATGTGTCTTAACTTCTCCCTAACATCTCTTAACCATGGAAGCCTCCCTAACCTCAGTCGGTAAAGGCGCAGCTATAAAGCAAGACCATGATGGAGGCGGCTGGGTTCTCGATTCTCGGTCCGGTCTGGAAATTTTTCGAGTTCGAAACCTGGGCACAGAGTATGGTTGTATTTGCCACACAATTATACTAATGCAAAAATGGTTTTCTTACAGTTGAATACAGAAGGCGGTGAACAACCACTACACGCTATTTTGCTACGCCTATTTTGATTTAATTTCAATGGCACCCATTCCCTAGCAGCACACTTGTCACTGAACAATTGTGGTCACTTGTGTACAACTGATTTCGGTCACAATCAAGTATCAGCAACTAATTTCGATCGAAGTGTGCCGCTTGGGTTTTTATGACAATAAGAACAAGCTATAAAATGAATTTCGTGTGTGCTATCTGCTTCTCCCTCTCAGCTCTCAACTACTTTTTCATAACACTCAATCGCTTTCTCATATCTCTTAATCACTCTCTCTCATACATTGTAATCCCTTTCTCAATATGAGGAAGGGATTAAAATGTATGAGAGAGTGATTAAGAGACACCCTTATTCACGCTCTCATATCTCTTAAACGACCAATCATACATTCCAACTTCAACTTTTCTCATGCGTCTTACAAATCTCTCGTCGTTACAACACTCTTATATCTTTTAAACATTCTCTTATAGCACTTCATCACTTTCATATATCTCTTAAGAGCAGCTCCACCGCCAAATGACGAATCGATCTGATGCGAGCTTCTCCGATTTTCATGAAACCTAGCATAATTGTTTGTTATGGTCAATCATTGACATATGAGTTAAAATTCGACCTTTTTGAATCTCGCAAAATACTTCAAAAGAGCGGATTCGTTATTTTTCAAACAAATCATAACTCAAAAACGTAACTTCAAATCGAAATGACGTCTGCGGCAAAGTTCTGTCCGCGATGTAAAAATGAATTACAATATCTAAAATCTAACATAGCATTTTTCGGATATTCAAACATTCAAACAAATCCTATGTTTGACTTCAGATATTTGAATGAAGTACTCAAAACACTAAATCTGGGTACTGCGGACTCACTCAATGTGCTTGTCACTTGGGAGCCAGCCAGTGAGAACTGTCAAACGGGAGCCAAACATGCAGAAGCAACTAATGCAGTTACTGTTCTTATCTGCCGTCAAGCATTGTAATCTTATAAAAATGATTCATACATAACACATTCTTAATTTTAAGCTCAAAGACAAAAACCAACAGGCTCGATTGGTGGCTCGAAAGCTGACGTGTTTTTCTTTTGCTACGTATTTTTCGTCAGCGAATTAAAAAAAAATTGCTTTAAATTTGTTAATTTGTGTGCTAAAATTTTGTTTTAAGCGTTCATAAAGTGAACTGAAGCAGCTTCAGTTTCATTGTTCGGTGTCGGTTTTCATTGCCTCCCGGGAACCCGGTTCTCCGAGTTTGGATGCCACACTTTCGGCGTGTAGTTCTATTGAGAGATTCGTCACCGTGGGCGAGTTTGAACCCGGTCCGGTTGGTGAATTAGCCCAGGAACGTTCTAATAATGTGTTCGTCGCGAGTTTTGGTGGTGATTCGGTGGCCGACGTTGCCGTGAATCAACAAGTTTACCGCATGCAAAAGTGCTCGGCTGCTGGTCTCTCGCCGGTGTCGGAGAATGCGAGCAATATGAAAGATGCCTCGCTGGATACGACCAAGACTGGACGGGTGGTAGCTGGTGGCCGCGAAAGGTTCCTGAGGAAAGCACTAGAAGCGAACATCCTCCCAGCTGACCATGGCAATGCAAGAAAATTTGTATTCGTCGAAGGAAGTATTAATTAACATGGTGAGACCAGTCCAAATAATTTTTACAATTTAAAAAAAAAAACAAACTAAATACGTGCCAGGATTCAAAAGATCATTTTGAAACTGGAAGTGTGTGTGTGTAATACTAATATCCAATTGATAAAGGTAATACATGCATCCCAGGTAACAATATGATGCTTAACAAGTGTTGTTAAATAGCTTTTAATTCAGCCTTAGATTGAATAATTGCTGTACATAGACCACATTAACCTTTGTTCAGCTTTCAAACATCTAAATCTGATGATTTTAATCAGCCAAAAACTTAACAGTTATATACATTTTAAGCTTTTTAAAACATTAAATAACAGTCTTTTCCAACCCTTGTACAGCCTTCTAGTTTTATTTCGAAAATAATAATGGAAGACCGCCTCATGTCTTATGCATTTATATGGAGTTGCTTTAACTTGTTGCTGACTAATTGGATTTACATATTTAGATTGTTAATATAAGTCTTAAAATTTCCTTTGTATTTCGGGATTTGAACCGGCAGTCGCTGATTCACAGGCGTCAACCATACCTACTGAACCACTTAAGTGTATGTGTAGCAAAAGGTATGATCGTTGACTTGAAGCACGTCAAATTTAAGTTGAATAACAGCAATCGGAAGAATATTATACAGCAATGCATACATTCCTCTCATTTTCAAGTGCAGCTAATGCAATGTGGACGCAAGTGCGTGATTTTTTATCGATGGTAATTTGGATGTTATTTTAGTGCCATAATTGAGGAATATTTTTGGAATGCGGTCTGAAACTTCAATATGCAATAAAACAGATAAAACATAGGAATACAAATGTTAAATCTCCTCTGCCTTGTCTCTACTGCTACCACTGCTTGTAATTAGAAAGGTAGGCAGTGAATTAAGAAGTACTAAAATGCTGGAAATGCAACGAATGACACAGACACTGACGACTTTTAACAAATCAAGCTATCAAAATATGTGTAACGCATTGCTGATTTGTGGAGTTGTGTTACGCTTAAATAAGGCTTGTTCAATCTTTAGATCAGCTAGCTTATTAATGTTGGATTATGGGGATACAATTCGCTTCATGCACTACTAATCAACTATATAATCAGCCTCGTGTTAATCAGCTTTGTACACCTTAAATCAACCAATAATCAGTTTCTGTTCTTACTGTTCAGCTTGAATTGTTGCTTGGGATGCGGGGCTTATTGTAATAACCCGTTCACATTTCAGCCTATATCACGTAATATGGACTGTCTTGCAATGAGCACTCATACATAGGATTTCCAGTGAAAACTAGATGTATGAGTGCTGATTGCAAGACAGTTGAGTTATCAATTGCAGTAAAACATACTTTGGCGAAACATGTATGTAAACAAACTTTGATAGAGTCATGGGGGCTCGCGCACTCCTGGCTCAGAGCTTTTGGCGGGAATCAACTGAGAAAGAACAAAACAATTTTCCATTGGCTTGCAAAATATAATCGATCGACTCCGCAGAACCCAACACTAAATATTTCTTATCTAAGATGTTTCAGTGCTAACAACACTGTCCCACAACCGACAAAAACATCGCCTGCATCTGTCTGGTTGCAGAGCTGCTAACATGAGCATGAGCATGATTTACCGCCCGCGGATATTACTCTGTCATTGCCCCTCGCTATGTTGAAAACCGAGAAGTCCTGAACCGATAAGCTGAATTGATATCCTAACGATCCTATAACGCGATGGAGCTTGGGATTG